GTGGCACCTCGCACCGATGCCCGAGAGGACTCCCAGATCGCTCCTCACTCCCAGAAACGCCTGTGCTTGTGCTTCTGACCTGACGCTTATCACTGCTTACTGCATCTTTGACGGGTGCTTTCCAGACCCAGACAGATGCACAGGCTGCCTGGAGACTTGAGGACCAGTCCAGTCCTGTGCGAACTCGACTCACCACCTCCAAGATGTTCTCCCAAATACCACCATGGGTATCTGAACCAAGAGAAAACTTTACTGCCTCCGATATTCACCTTGTGAGGCCAACCAGGTCAGAGCGGTAACTCGCATGTGGCCCTTGTCCTGGCACTGAAGATGCCAGGTGAACACAAGCCAAGACCCAGAGGTACAAGAACCTGGGCATTGTGCCTGGGTATGTGCAGTCCCAGGAGCTACCAGGCCAGGGAGCAGGTGTGCACACCAGCCCTAGCACCCAATCATGGCTCCATGGCAGAGGTCAGGGTGGCAGGGTCACCTCTAACTGGTCATCAGCTGCACAGAGGGCACTTCCAGCCTGGAATCCTGGTACCCTGACTGCCTATCAGACCAGCAGCCAACATATGCTGATTTAGCTTTAGCTCGGAGAGGCGGGGCACCCTGCCCACAGTCATCCAGCTGGTAACAGAGACACAGCCTCAGACCTCTGCCAGGGGCTGAGCCACTGATCTTGAGGAGTGGGCCTGAAGGACAGGAGGATGGCAGACAGGGATGAGGACAAGTGGACACTGAGGCATAGCAGGGCTGCAGGCGGGGCAGAGGAGTGTGGTGACAGGAGCCAGCAGGAGGCACCTGCCAATCAATCGCAGGCAATGGCTCAGGCACTATGCTCTCGACTCAGTCCTCACCTTGTCCCCAGGAAAGTATACACTGTCAGCTGCATCCCACAGACCCAAACGCCGCGGCCAGAAAGAATGCAGCCCGAGTCACACTCCTGCCAACTCCAACAGTAGAAGAGAGGCTGGGCCAAGATGGAACCAGAGGGGCTGGGGATTTAGCTCAGCGGCATAAGCGCCTGCCTTGCAAGCAGGCAGTCGTGAGTTTGATCCCTGGTACCGATAAAAACAAAAAAGACAAAAAAAAAAAAAAAAAAATGGAACCAGAGCCGCCCTCCTCGATCCCACTCCCTGCTCCCTGGCAGTGCCACCACTCGTGCCAAGCCAGCCGACACTTTTAACCCAGGGCCTCCGCACTGGTGCCAGATGTGCTCCTACCTGTCAAACCAGTTTTGGAACTGAATGTGCAATGTGGATTTCAATAAGAACAGACAGTATGGCCTTTCCACTCCTCAGATCTGCACCGGAAAACACCATGGCCACTGACCCCCACCCCCAAAACTCAGGTGGCCAGAGCTGATCACCTCACACAAGAGTGGGAAACCCAGCCACACCCCAGGACTGCTGATCAGCAAGCTGGGAGTGGTGCACAGGCAGCTCGGGAGGGCGGGGACAAGTCTCAGGGTATCATGTGCCCTGATCACAAGTTCCCCTCACACAGTAGTCCTGCAAACCTCATACAGTGCAGCTGTGAGCAGGAGGCCTGCAGAGCCTCGGGTTATTCCTGTAGCATGGTCTGGAATAGTTCCCAGAATGACGCCGGCGGTGGTCCTCAGCAGAGCTGGGGCTGCAGCTTCTGCCCCTCAAGGTGGGGTGCAGCTGGCCAGCACTCCTCCCCTGGCACCCTCATGCCCAGTCTGGCAGCACTGAAGCAGCTTCTTCCACTCATGACTTCTACCCGCCTCCTCGCAAAGCTTCACTTCCCTCCCCACACACCTGGTTCTGGCTTTCTGCTCCCTCGGTCACCCCATCTCTCAGCCTGGGTGGTCTGCAGAGCAGAGATGCTGGCCCTGTTTTACAGAGGGCAACAAACAATGCTCAGCAAAAAGCTAGAGTCCAGGTGGGCAGGGCTGGCTCACAAGTCTCCCCTTCCAGGGCACTCAGCCCTCTGTGTCACACCTTACTAGATAGCTCCTGGAGATGGGGAGGAAAGAAGGACAGAGGACAGACTCAGGTCACCTCTCACGTTCTCACAGATAACAGAATGTTAAGTGGCCACTGTAAGAACAGCTGGGAGATGCCCAGTGGAAACACTAGCACATGAGGGTCCGGGTTGGGAGCCTCCTGCACCTCCCAACCTAGGCAACTGCTCCATAGCCACCTCTACCAAGAGGCACAACAGCTTCTTGATGACCGAGTCTCCCTCAGCTCAGAGGCACCTGCTTCTGTCACCTCTTAGCCTGGGTTGAGGTCATGCCACCCAGCACCATCCAGGCACTCTCCACCAGCCCTCCCACTAGGCCCACAGTCTAAGTTCAGGCCATGTGCTTCCAGAGTCACAGACCAACCAACTTTCCACCCCTGCTTGCTCCTTGCAGCCCCCAGGCCTATCCACAACCCCATACTCTAGGCTGGGCCAAGATCAACCTTCTATACCTCGGTTCCTTTTCTACCCTGGTGAGCCCTCAACCTCCCGCAGCCCTGAGGCAAGTCAACAACCCCACCATTCTCCCTTGGCACAAGAGTCACCTGTTCTTTGGTGTTCACAGGCTCTCTTTTTTTTCTACCCTGAAAATCCCACTGATCACAAAAGACCTTCCCCAGGCAGAATACCGCCCAACTCCCTCACTGCCAGGCCAACTCCAGCCCTCTCCCCAAGCAGCAAGGGCCCACTCTTTTACTCAGATCATGCCATCACCCCCCTACCTCCAGCACCCCACTCCTCCAGAGGGTGAGCCCTGTCCAGTCCTCCCTACCTCTCTCTAAAGCTCCCAGAAGGAGACTCCCCAATGCAGAAGGAACCCCTACCTAACCTATCACCCAGAGCAGGCCAACCAGCACCCCTCCCAGCTCCCCCTGGGACAGACCCTGGGAATGACACTGTCCTTCCTTCAAACTCTCCCTGCTTCTCCAAAACCACCCAGGAGAAACAACAGCAAAACACCAATCTGCTGGAAGACACCTGCTCCTTCTGTGCCAAGATACGACAAGGACTATCTTGTTTAATTCCCACAACTAAGAAATGAACACCTACATTTGCACAAAAAGAAAACAGGGGGCTCAGAGATGAATGGCTTCCACACTCCAGTGTCTTCTGGAAACCTGCAGACCGGACACTTTATCCACAACCCATGAAAACTCTCCAACCATGCTCATCATTGACCTTCCAGCCCACAAACGAGCCACCAGCCACCATCCTCACCCCACCCACCCACTGGTCCCTAAAACAACCAATCTAGCTTAAAAATGACTGCAGCTTCATGAAGGTTCACCTTGGTCAGCTCTTTTTATGCACAATTTTACTTAGTCTTCTTGTAAGCCCTGTGCTATGGGGCACTACCACCCATTTTACAGATGAGAAAACTGAGCCTTGAGGCACTTAGATAACCATCCTGATGTTGCAACGTAGGTACATAAAGGGTCAGGACTGGAACTGCAGCCTCTGCTCTTAACCATGCCACTCCACTTCTACCTTGCTGGGCCTTTCCCCCTCCAGCACTGAACTTCTCAGAATGGATACCAGACTACAGCCACAGCCCATTCTATCTCTTCCATTTCAGTCCCCTATGCCTGCCAACCTCAGGTCTGCACCACCTAAGTCTGCACCTTGGTCTGCAGTCCAAGCCCCAATGCCAGGAGTCTTAAATTAATCACTCTCTCTCTCTGACAATAACAAGCCAAACTGGCATTTATGACGGTTTTCCTGTGTGTTCAGGTTCCAGCAACCATATTTTCCACCCTCACATCAAAGCAAGCAGTTCCTCCAATGCCCACCAACTGGCAACAGTGCCTCCCTTTTCCTGGGCCCAGCAGATTAACTTTTTTTTTTTTTGTCTTTTTCCTTTTTATCGGTACCAGGGACCGACCTCACGACTGCCTGCTTGCTTGCCGCTGAACTAAATCCCCAGCCCCTCAGCAGATTAACTTCTGCAGCACCACAGCCAGCTGGTGCCCTCTCTTCACAGGCTCTGCTCCAGTCAAACCAGCATTCGCCCACACAGAAGGGAGCTCATCGTGGCTGTCCATCACCCCGGCACTTTTCCATGCTCCTGACTCTGTGGCTCCACACACCGCTCCAGTCGCCCTTTCACCTCCAACACTGGCTCAATCCTATCTAGGGAGCCTAGAATCCATGCACCACGAGCCCCTCTCCCGACCCAGGACCCCTAGCTTCTTCAATGCCCTCACTTCCGACTGACCAGAAACTCTTGACTCCCAACTTGAAAATATTCCCTAACTTGTTCCCAGGAAAGAAAAAGGAGATCGTTCTATAGCCAGGCCCCAAAATTCCTCTGCTCCTGAATCATGGACAATCCTCTACTTCCCTGTTTTGAGAGGAAGAAGAGGCACGCAGTAAACTTTCTTTTCATTCTAAGATCTAACATTGCACGGGATTAGCTCCCCCAACAGCAAGAAAACTACAGTCTCTGCTCCTTTTCTGGGAACGTGACTCCCTTTTCTAAGCCCCAGGATTTACCAACTGCTCTACAGCCGCAGCCCGGGTTTATTCCCCTCTCACCTTTCAGCCAAGAAAGTGAACTGCATGACAGCCCCTTGTTTTGAAGCCTGCAGTCCACTTTACCTCGTGACATTTCTATGGGCCCATTAAACTCTTCCAAGGATCCTTTCTGGGCCAACGTTAAGCCACTGCTCCTCTTCAGCTTCTCTCTTTCCTTCTTTAGGGGAACTATGAACTCAAAGGCTGCCACCCTCCCGACCTCGCAAATAATCCAACGTCAACTGCCCATTGTTTTAAATCCTAAAATGATCACTCTCAGCGTGCCAAAGGAGTTACAGAAACCCACTACTTTCCACCTTCCCAACCCTACAGCCAGCCCCGCTCTAAAAATCTCCAACCCTAAACGGACAATTGTGTCTTAAAAGCGACATTATGTGCAATGCACTGGGCGCCACCTCCGTGCCCGGCCAGCACTGACCCCTCCGAACTCGCGGGTCCCCCTAGAGCCGCCCCCGCACCCCTACAGTAGCTACCATGTCTCCAGGGGTCTTTGGGCTCCACCGCTCCAGACACGATATCCTCGTCCGACGGGAATGTAACACGCTTGGCTGCAGCCTTGAGGCGCCCGTCGGCCGGGGGCGACGCGGGGCTGGGAGGCCCAGCCTCGGCGGGGGCCTCCTCTGTGTCGGCGTCGGCTTCAGCTTCAGCTTCGACTACGGCTTCGGCGTCTGCGCCCGGCTCGGGCGGCGCCTCCTGCGGCGGGATCTCCATCGCCACCGCCGCCTCTTCACGGGGGCCCCGGGGACATGCCCCGGGCCCCGGACTCGTCTCTCCGGGCCCGCCCGCCGTCCCGGGGCATGGGCTCCGTCGCTGCTTCAGGCGCCGCGTCGGTCCCCTCTCCTTGTCGTTGTCGTCGTCGTCGCCGAGAGCCCAAGCGCGCCTCCGCTGAGCCCCGCGCGTCCCAGCTCTTCCCTAGTCGCACTTTCGCTAAAGGCCGAGGAGTCCGAAGCGCACGAAGAAAGGTGTAAAATGTATGTAAACTATTTTCAGGAAGACTTACCCGGCGTGAAACATAAAGAAGGAAACCAGGAACAGAAGAAGGCCAGCGAAAAAGAAACGTATGCAGCGAATCTGCAGAGCCGGAACTGCAGACTATAAGGGGCGGGATGAGGTAGACGCCGTCTCCTAGAGCTGCGCGCACGCGCGGATACCAGCCGCCCTCTTCCCCCCAAGCCCCGCCCCTCTAGCCCTCACCCCGCCCCGCCCCGCCTCTGCTTAGGTAACTGGGTTCAGACTGCCGCACATTCGTCACGAGCCCAAGTCATAGGGAAGGTAATGGAGTTGAATAGAATGAAAACATGTTGAGCTGAGGCTAAGCCACCTGGCGACGAGGGGTTAAATGGATAGAGACATTGAAAGGCAAGGCGATGGGGGCGCCACTCAATATGTGACTACCTACAGGTGATGAGTGCAGACCTAGAGATCCTGTCTGAACACTGAATCTACTCCCTGCTTGCTAATTGTAGCCTCAAATTTGCAGACTCCAGTATCCTCAGCAGTTGTATCTTGGCAGCGCTGCATAACATGGAAATTTCAATATTAAAATAAATACGAATGCGTGAAGCGTACCCTATACCTTATCCCCCCCCCAAAAAAAAAAAAAACCTGGGGAAAAAAATTCCCAAAGGGTAGCGATGAATCCGCAGATCCAAACACCCGGTAATAAAGGTAGATAATCAAACCAGATACAAACTTGCGCGAGCGTAAGCCACGCCCCCAGGGCGCAACTTAATCGCTCAGGATTCGCCTCTGCACTTTCGCTCCGCTTTCCTGGCCCGTAGAGCACCCAACGCGCGGTACAAACCTTTTAAAAGGGGGTCGGGGAAGCAAGCCACATCGTTGCCAAGGCAACCAGAGAGCTAGGCTTGAAACTCGCCAGAACTGGGCGACAGGTGGAGCATCCTATACTGATTGCCCCTTTCAACATCACCTGCAACCGCGTTTTCTAACAAAAACTCCTCTATTCTTACTGCAAGCCTTGACTTAAATTTTGAACTTGAAGGTACTAAAAAGGGGCAAGAAGTCGGATGAGGTGGTGCCTGGAGCCTGTGGCAGGAGGATCGCTGAGTGAGAACTACAAAGCAAGACTTGTCTCAAAAAAATAATTTAAAAACCTATTTCTAGCCGGGCGTGGTGGCTCACACCTGTAATCCCAGCACTCAGGGAGAGTAAGGCAGGAGGATCCTTGCGAGTTCAAGACCAGCCTGGGCTACAAAGTGAGCTCAGGGCCAGCCTGAACTGCATAAAGAGACCCTGTCTCAAAAAAGACAAAAAATTAAAAACAAAAATAAAAACCTATTTCTCCAAAAGGGAACAAGAACTATTTTTTATATCATCTGCTGGATGATACTAGCGACAGGGGATTAAATGAAGCATATATGGACTGCCACAATACATAGCTAGAGGGGATGGAGGTAGGGCAAAGCTTCACGCTAACTACTAATCCTTAGCTTTTTCTCAGCAGCGCAGCCCCATTCTCTCAGCATGGGAGAAAGCGAATCAGCTGCCTGCTGAGTACAGGCCACAATTTGCAACAGACGAACAGCAGAAGGGGCGACTGTGCATGACCACATGACCTAGTATGAGCTGTACTCCTTGCCTTGGAAAGATCTACCCTCACCCCACCCCCAAACTGCAACTGGGTCTAGCTCTCCCATCAAGGAGGTCAGGGGGCCCCAGGCACTGTGGGGGACCAGCATAGGATCCTCACCATCTCACCAGATCCAGATCCTGAATATCCACCCTACCACTTCCCAAAGAAGACTGCAGCACTCAGCCAGGCCAGATATTCGAAAAGAAAATCAAGAGTCAGATGGTCCTGGGATGACTGGTTCTTTAGCAGGAGGGGAGCAATGCAGAATTTTGCAACCTCTTGAATACAGTTGGCTGCTTTACAATTTGCCCTCCCTCAGCCCCACCCTCCACCCCGTCTTCAGGAATGGACACCTGGCCCATATTCAGTAGCGTTCAGAGCTCTGTAAGGCAGCACAGTCCTTTCAGTGGCATAGGAATTCCTGGGGCTGCAGTTTTACTGAGTAAACCCTGGAGGTCCTCAGCAGCCACAGATGCCTGGAGCTTGCCTAGAATTCCAGGAGAGCCCAGAGCTCCTCAGGTCCAGAGTTCCTGGTCAGAACATTTGGAAGGAAGCCTGAGATCCCGCAGTTAGGCCCACAGCGGGATGGGGAGCGCAGTCGTGTCTTCAGAGTTTGAAGGTATATGAAACAATGTCACTACAGCGAAGCAGAGCCTCCGCCTGCACGCCTATGGGAGTCTGCAGCTGTGATACGTAGAAGTTGGCCACATCAAGGTCGGTGGCTCCGAAGTGGGCAGTCACATGCACACCCTCGTGCAATGCAAAGCTCACCTGGCGACCCACCATGGCCAGCAGGCTTCGTAGGTAGCGCTCCCGAAGGGCAGCTCGCACGCGCTGTTCCTGGGATTCCTGAGATCCTTGACCTACAGGACACTCTTGGCTTTCAGGAGCTCCTGGCTTCAAATGGGCCCTGCGACCATCAGGGGCAAAGCCACGGCTCAAGCCATCAGGGCCACGGGGGAGCCGGAGCACGGGCACTGGAACGGCTAGAGGAGTCTGCATTGTGCTGGCTATTGAGGGAGAAAGGATGGGGGACCATTAGGTGGGGCTGTAGAGCTTCAGGAGGAAGCTTTCCAGCATCTCATTTAATCTGTCCAAAATGCTGATTCCCCTCCTAAAATCTTCCTCACCCCTCCCCAAGCTCCTCATCCCCTGGAACTTGCACCACCATCTCTGCAGTGGTTTGGACCAGAATCAAAGTGTCACACACATACAGAAGCTCAACAGAGGCAGGGGACTTTTGCCTGTTTTAAGCATGGCTTTATCCCAGTACTCGTCGATAAGTATTTGCCAAAAATAAACTCACCCTCCCCCACCCACATACAGACTACACAATCAATCCATCAGGAGATCTCATATTCCAAAAAGATTGCCACTCACACAGGAGATAGCTGGAAAAGGTGTCTGCTGGCCAAATCTAGAATTATTTGAATGTTAAAATGAAAATTACAAGCTGGGCCTGCTGACACACAACTGTAATGCCAGCATCCAGGAAGAAGGCAGGAAGACTGTGAGTTTGAGGCCAGCCTGAGCTACACAGCAGTTTGAGGCCAGTCTCAATGTTTAAAAATTTAAAATAGAGCTGGGTACGTAGCTCAGTGGTACATTGCTCATTTATAACATGTGTGAGGCCCTGGGTTTGATCCCTAGCACTCCAAAGTACATAAATAATGAAACCTGGGCATGGTGGCACATGCCTGCAATCCTTTTTTTTTTTTTCTTTTTTTTTTTTTTTTTTTTAATTTAAAGAAAAGGAAACGAAAAAAAAAATACATGGAGATTAAAGAATAAAAGGGTAGAAAAATAATACTAAATTACAGACAAACAAAAGGTAATAAATTGCCAGTTGATAAGTTACAAATTGTCTTCTTCGAAATGGCTGTTTAGGTTATAGAATTAAAGTATTTAGAATGACATTCAAAAAAGTGACCCTACAAACCATTCTGCTCTATGGCCGAACAAAAGCTCCGTAATATGATTATCAGTCCCACCTATTTGTTTTACATCTCTAAGAGGATAAGGTTAACCATATCAAAACAGAACAGAACATTTAAAAAAAAAATAAAAAACTATTTAAAGAAATACAGATTTCAAAGCAAGTCCACTGGAGATCTACCTTATCTAACTGTCTCTAGCTTCTTACAGATAGTTGTCCCTAACTTCACCCACTTTCTATACTTATTGCATATTATAGAACTAATCAAATCATTACAGGATGATGGAGTCTTTTTAGGTCCTCAAGTTCCAAATTAGGGAAGACATTTCCAACTACCATCGCATCTCTCATTCTCTTTGTGATAGCCGTCCCCATCTCTGCATATGCTGAAGTTGAGCTGAAGAAACCAGTCCAGAGTCATTTTAATCAGCAAGCAATAGATTGCTAGAATTTATATTATAATGCTACAAAATAAGCCTCGGGTTTTTTCAGGTCTCTTCCTCAGAGTATTTGTTCCTATCCTCTCTGTATTATAGGGAAAACCAATTCATAACAAGACAGCGAAACAATTTCCTAGATAAACATGCAATGGATAAGACTTACAAAACTATAATATAAATGATCTTCCGTAGCTACTATGTTTTCTCTTGTTATTTTCAATAGATTTGTCGACAACACTGGCTTATTATAGTTAAATATACTATCACCTATTTTTATAAAAACTTATCTTTGACTGCATTGTAGTATTTGAGAGCTGTTACTGATTCATACCAGTATGGATATCCTTTACATCCTGTCATGCTCAGAGTAGTTTCCTCTACTTTTAGGGTTGATTCTAACACGCATACGGATTTCAAATAGGATCAGTCAAGGCCAACCAATAGTCTTATGATTCAGATACAATTAAGATCAGTCATAGTAAGACAATGTAAGTAATACAGGGTTTCAGCTTAAGTCAATAGGAAAGTAAAGATGGTTACCATGGTATAACCTGCTATTTTTGGTTCTAGAGGTCTGTGTCTTCAAATCTGATATGAGTGGACAGACCAGAACAAATTTAATTCAATCTAAATATGGCACTAGGACTACTGTGTCTTTTAAATCGTTATACACCATTAGCAATGACCTCTGCTTTTTTTTTTTTTTTTTTTAAATATAGTTTCAGAGCTGTCTCTACCAAAGACTAGCTTACTGTCTCTGCCTCATGTCTGCTACTCCACTTTTCTGCTATAATTTGTCCACCTTATTCCCTCATTCCATGGTCTGCCCCGTACACTGAGGCCTCTCTGCCACTGTAGCTGTAATCCTGATATTTCTTCCTCTCTTTCTCTGTAATGTCCTTCAGCGCTCTCTGTAGGGTTGGATTGGTGGCCACGAACTCCCACAGTTCCTCCTTGTCTTGAAAGTATCTTATTTCTTCATTAATTTTTAGAGAGAGTTTTGATGGATATATGAGCTTAGGTTGCATATTTTTTTCCTTCAGGACTTGGAATATTTCTCCCCACTCCCTTCTTGACTTAAGAGTTTGTGTTGATAAGTCTGCCGTTATTTTGATAGATTTCCCGTTATAGGTAACCTGCATCTTTTCTCTGGCTACTTTTAATATTCTGTTTTTTTGGTGGATTTCTGGGATCTCGATTATTATATGCCTAGGCGTAGATCTGTTTTGGTTGTAGGTAGCTGGCGTTCTGTATGCTTCTTTTATCTGGATATCATTTCTTTTTGCTATACATGGGAAATTTTGCTTTAATATCTCTGTGAATATTTTTTGTATTTCATTTTTGGATGTTCCTGCTTCCTCACTCACATTCTTTATTCTTAGGTTATGCATCTTTTTATCATCTTCCAGTTTTAGAATTGCTTCTTTCTGGTTCCTTGTTATTTTTAAGAGGCTTTTTCTTTCACGTTCATAAGCCCTAAATCTCTCTTCAAGTTTCAGAAGATTGTCTTTAGTTTCTGTCAAGGCATTTTGCCAATATTCAATGGAGTTTTTAATTTCCTGATTTTCTCTTTGGATCTGTTTCATGTATTCTAAGTTATGCTTAAATTCTTCAGATGCTTCTCTTTCTTTTCTGATTTCCTCAGTTCTTCCATCTGTGTTCTCTTGGGCAGGGCTTGTCATTTCTTTAATTAATCTCTTTATATCTTGCCTCACTTGGATCAGGAGTACATCTTTAAATTCCTCTATGAGATCATGTAAATACTTTTTAATTTCGGCTGATGCTGAGTCGAGCAATGGATGGTTACTGTGCTTGTTCTCTTCAGTGTTTAGTTCTCTTGAGTTTAATTTCTCCTGTTGAACAGCTGGAGATTTTTTTTTATTTTTATCTCTTGTCATGTTTCTGGTTTCTTTCAGACTGTCCTGGAGTTCTCTGGCCCTCTCCGAATTGCTTAGGGCCTTTCAGAATCGTGCCGGCTTGAGTTTTTGCTGTCCTCCCCAATTTGCTGTTATCTGGGGTAGGCTGGGATGCAGGGGCGGTACAGTCTAGTCTCTAGCCTCTGTGTCAGTTAGTTCATAAATTAGGCTGTACTTTCTGGTTGTCACTGAGTTGTGACCATTCTGCATCCGCCCATTGGGCCCCAAGCAGAGGCCTGATCTAGCCCCAACAGCTCCTGCCAGTTCTCCCTGAATCAGAAGCAGCTGGGTAATGGCACAGGATTCTGCCCAGGTCCCAGCCGTTCTCTTCCAAACCTCTCTGTGATAGGAGCTCTAGAAAAGCAGATCTGCCCAAAACCAAGATGGCTCCCACTAAGTTCTCCATGCAGAGCTGAAGCCAGCAAGCAATCAGACTCTGCCAGGACTCAAGATGTCTCCCACCAGCCCTCCCTACAGGGGGTCCTGGTGATGTCACCAAGCTGCGATTTCTGCCGCCAGGCTAATATGTCTGCACCAGATTCTGTGTTATTGATTTCCCCGTGGTGGCGGGCCAGCTGTTCTCTGGCCAAACCCAGCCGCCGCGGGGTTTCCTATACTCACCAGAGTCCGGTGCAAGTCCCCGCTCCGGGACCGCCACACACCAAGCCGTCCACTTTTCCCCACCTCACGGCTCAGCGCTGACTGGTCAGATTTCTGTGCACCGTTTAGATTCGAAACGCCAGAGCTCTGTATATCTGCTCTGGTGCAGCGGTGCAGAACTGGCTGCCGCCTGGAGTCTCGATCTGGGTCTCAGTTTCCGCAGTCCCCAAAAGCAACTCAGCTTTTCGTGTTGGGTCCACGAGTCTGTTCGTTGATTTAAGGGCGCGGGATTTGCAGCCTCCGGTCTCAGCACGACTTTAAATCCTCCAGCTGTACTGTCTTGGTTGATAAGAATCGCTATGGATTTGTCTGGTCCTCTCCATGCTGTCTTTTTTTTTTTTTTTTTTTTTTTTTTAGCTTTGAGTTTGAATTCTCTGGAGAGATTCTTCGCTCGATCCCCTAGCACGCCGCCATTTTCTCCTATCCATGCCTGCAATCCTAACACTTGGAAAATGAGGTAGGAGGATCTCTGGGAGTTCAAGACCAGCCTGGGCTACACAGTGGGTTCAAAAGCCTGGACTACATGGAGAGACCCTGTCTCAAAACAAAACACCTGAGCATGGTGGCATACTGTAATTTCAGCACTCGGGAGGATAAAGTAAGAGAATTGCCATGAGTTCAAGGACAGCCTGGGCTACACAGTGAGACCCTGTCTCGAAAAACCAAAACAAAACACAACACATTACCGAACTCAAATCTAGGGGCATTCAATCAATGACAAAAACTAAACAGGAGCCAGGTGTGGTGGCACATGCCTGCAATCCCAGCATTCAGGAGGCTGAGGCAGGATTGTGAGTTTGAGACCAGCCGGGGCTACAAAGTGAGCTCAATACCAGCCTGAATTGCATAGTGAGACCCTGCCTCAAAAAGACTAACATAATTAAAAAAAAAAAAAAAAACTAGGCTGGACTACAAGATACCAAAATACCACAAAAGACAAAGAAGGACCTAGAAAGAAGTAGATTACAGCCATCCACACCCTAACACTTCTCACCCCTCCACAGCCACAGGCAACCTGTGACTTCCTGCATTCACTCGAGGAAGTTGGGTATTGGGTCCCTGGGTTTTTCACCTTCATTGCTGGGTCTGTGCCCCTAGACTCAGCTCGAGGTGCCCTGTTGCTCCTCAGATCAGTTCACAACCCTCCTCTCTCAGAGCCAAAGCTATGGCACAAGTTCCACCCTCATCCCTGATCACAGCCTCACTGGTTCCCCGAAGTCACTCCAGGGTCCTTGTGCCAAGCTCCCTGTCTCTGCCCAAGTCTCTCCTCCCCTCAGTGGCCTTCTAGGCAGCCACCTTGCTTTTCCTGACAAGTCCCATTCCTGCTCCCCCTACACTTAGCTATGTGATCCCAGTCAAGACAGTCTCATCGGTATTGCTTTGCGGGTTTTTTTTTTTTTAACTTTTTGAGACAAGGTCTGGCTGTGTATCTCTAGCTGGCTTTGAACTCACTGTGATCCTCTTGGCTCAGCCTCCCAAGTGCCGAGATTATAGGCATGTGCCACCATGCCCAGCTAAACTTATTAACTGTTTGGTGCCCCATCAGGAAAACCCTGAGTGTTTCCCCACAGGGCTGACATGGGCACTAAATGCCCTAACCACTGTTTGATGTTCAGCACATGCCTGAAACATGTTCAGTACCACTACAATGTTGCTGAATGCATTTGGGAAAAGGCGAGCCTTGTGGTCAAGAAGACTGAAGGATGTGGTTTAAGGCAGCTGCACCAGTCCTTGTGGCTTGGTCCCTTCCCCTCTGAAAGCTAGTGAACCTGGGCATGGAGACATACACTTGTAATCCCAGATGTTCCGAGGCTGAGGCAGGAGACTGAAAGTTCAAGGCCAGCCAGAGCAATTTAATGAGACCTATGTCAAAACAAAAAGCAGCAGCCTGTAATTCAGCAGTGGATTGCTAGCGTAGCATGTGCAGGGCCCGGATTCCATCACTAGTACCAAGGAAAAGAGAACATAAGCCTTGAGGACTGCTGAAGCACAAGGACTGGGCAGCAGCAGCAGGGCCAGACGCAGAAGGGAGGTGATTCCAAAGGCACTCAAGTTTATACCATTTCAAGCCTCAAAGAAAAAAGTAAGAGTTTTCAACCAAGGCAGGGCTGGTGGCACAGGCCTATAATCCCAGCACTCTGAGAAATTGAGGTAGGAGGATTACAAAAAAAAAAAAAAAAAAAACCACTATGGGGGGCCAGGGATTTAGCATAGCAGCACAAGTGCCTGGGTGAGGTCATGAGTTGGATCCCTGGTACCAAAAAGAAAAAACAAAAAACAAAACCAGGCTGCAAGCCATACTGTCTGTCTAACCCCTGCCAGAGAGGATGAGACAGAGACTCAGGGAACCCAGGTGGATGGGTTGCAACTCTTTGGGGGATTAAGAAGGGGTCACTGCTCTTCTGGGACAACCTCTGGGCCTTTGTCTGTGAAATGAAGCATTAAAATAAAAACCTCTAGCCAGGCTCAGTGGTAGATGCCTCTAATCCCAGCACTTAGGAAGCTGAGGCAGGAGGATTTTGAGCCCAGTCTGGGCAACTTACAAAGACTTAAATTAAAAATAAAAAGGGCAGGGCTGGGGATTTAGCTCCGCGGCATGGAGCTCATTGGTAAAGCTAGTCCAAGGCCATCCTGAATTGGATAGCAAGACTTTGTCCCGAGAGGAAAGGGATGTAAAAAGAACTGAAATGTGTTACATGCACATATAGCTCCCTATGATGAATGAAATCATTATGCACTGCAAACATGTGCTAATAAACGTGAAAATTTTAAAAAGATCTTGATCTTACTTTTAAGAAAATAATATACCCTAAAATAACAATAAATAATATAGTAAATAAACAGCCCTTCATTCATCAGTGTGTTTTGTTGTTGTGGTTGTTGTTCCTGTGGTTTTGGTTGTTTGGTTGGGTTTTTTTTCCCCCTTCTTTTTCTTTTTGTTGTTCAGTACTGAGAATTGAACCCAGGGCACCATGCAAGCCCTCTACATCTCCAGATTTTAAAATTTTTTATTTTACTTTATCTTTGTGGTACTAGAGATTGAGCTGAGGGCCTTCTCCCTAAACTACATCCCAAGACCATTTTTGTATTTTTTTTTTGTTTTGAAACAGGGTTTTGCTAAGTGGCTAAGGTGGCCAGGCTAGGCTCAAACCCAATCCTCTGGCCTCTGCCTTCCAGAGTGCTAGGCTTAGAGGCCTGCATCCCCATACTCAATTCTTTTTAGGATTCTGAAGACAAGATCTTACTAAAATCCCCAGGCTGGCCTTGAGTTTGGGATCCTCCTGCCTCAGCCTCCCAAGTAACTGGGATGACAGTCATACACTACTTGGCTGTGCAGTAATGTGTTATGCCAGCATCACCACAAAAGAGTGGGTACACCGTGCCGCCATGTTGCAGGGCCACAATGTATTATTCACTTTTCAGCTCCACTATAATCTCATGGGGCCATTCCTTTTCTGATGGAGAAAGCATTACATGGCAGGTAGCATATGCTGTCTATGAGCTGCCTCATTACCTTCTGAGAGGGACAAGCAGGATTACAGCTCCATCCCACCCCAGTTAATGGAGATGGGGGCAAGGCGGTGCAGGTAAATAGCTGTTAAAGGCCTGTGAATCTTTACAGGCCTTTTAGTCCCTAAGTGTGAGGGGTGGGGGGGCGAAGGGCCAGATTCAGCTCAGCAGCACAAGCACCTGCGTGGCACTTGCAAGACCATGAGTTTAATGCCTGATACCAAAAAAGAAAAAAAAAAAAAAAAAAGGATTCACTAGTCCTGCTGGGCATGGAGGCACATGTCTGTAAACCCAGCTACTAAGGAGGTTGACACAGAAGGGTAGCAAGTTTGAGGCCAGCCTGGGAAAATTAGTGAGATTCTGTCTCAAAACTTTAAAAGGCTGGGGGATGTACCTCAGCGGCAGAACATCACTGGGTTTGATCCTCAGTATTGCAAGAAATTAAAAATGGACCTATCCAAGAACAGTTCTTCAATTTCATGAAAGTGGCTCCTGATTCTAGAATGTCAAAGCCAATCATGACAAAAATAAAAGCCAGGTGTAGTGGTGCACACCTGTAATCTCAGCACAAGGGAGGTTGACTCAGGATTACTGAGAGTTCCAGGCCAGCCTGGGATACGAAGTGAGTTCAAAGCTAGCCTGCACTGCACAGTGAAACCCTGTCTCGACAAGAAAAAGAAAGAAAGGGAGAGAGAGAGAGAAAGGAAGGAAGGAAGGAAGGAAGAAAGAAAAAAAGAAAGGAAGGAAGGAAGGATGGAAGGAAGGAAAAAAGAAAGGAAGGAAGGAAGAAAAGAAAGAAAGAAAGAAAGAAAGAAAGAAAGAGAAAGAAAGGCAGACCCTTTTACTTTATCCAATATGACTAACACACATTTACATATCTGCTATTCAGGGTATGGCCAGGCTGGGGCAATCTTGAGAACACATCTAGGGCTGAGATAAAAGGGTTTGCCCTCTTGGGCTCACAGTCCAGTGAGGCACAGATTCCTTCCGAGATCAGGGAAGTGGAGTGACCACAGCAGGTCAGGAAAGAAAGAGCTCCGAGCACAGGGGACATGATTTGCCCAGCTGGTGGTTTCCAGATGGAGGGCTCAGGAAGAATTGCTAAGATAAAACCACCTATGAGTGCTGGCAGGGATAAAATAAGGAATCAGCCAGCGAGCAAACTGTGCAGACCCAGCAAAAGCAGAGAGGCACAGCTGGGAGGTCGTTTGGAGGAGGGCGGGTAGGGACAGATTGTGCTGAGAACCTGGGCTTCTGCAGAGTGAGACAGGAGCCACGGAAAGGTTCCGGACAGAGGCACCAAACTCCAGGTAGAGGATGATGGTGGCTTAGGAGGGAGTAGGGCAGAGAGGACAAGAAATGAGGTCTGATTTTGACATTCTGAAGGTTAAAAGCCCTCACTGATGAATGCATCGATAGGCTGAGGAAAAATGAATCAAGGAAGACAGCGAGTGTTTTTGCCACATGGAAAAGGCCAGGATAAATGGGATTTAGGGCTGGTTAAATTATCTATCTGTCCACTGTTACTCCAATTTAGGAACAGCTAAAGCCCCCAGGACCTTCCTCCAACTCAGGTTAATTCTCATTTGCCAGGCACAGTGGCGCACGCCTGTACTCCCAGCACTTGGGTGGCTGAGGCACGAGCGTCACCAGGACTTTGTGGCCAACCTGGATTACAAAATGAGCTTAAGGTGCCAGTCTGAACATAGCAAGACTCTGTCTCAAAAAGACATAAATAAATAAAATAAAGAGCAGACTAAAGTATAATAAATAAATAAAACTCTCCAGTGTTTTCAGAGAAACATCCCAGTATCCAGGGTTAGTCACCAAAGAAGGATTGATGAAAATTCAGTATCTGACCAAAGAATTATGTTAAATCCTAAACAAAATTAAACTGGACGTGGTATGTATGCATGTAATGCCAGCACTCCAGGAGCTTGAGAAAGGAGACTGCAAGTTCAAGCCCAGGCTGAGTAATTTAGTATTTTAGTGAGAACCTCTCTCAAAAGAAAAATGTTTTTAAACCAGGCATGGTGACACATGTCTCTAATCTCAGCACTTGGGAGGCTGAGACAGAAGGACTGTCTCCAGTTCATGGCCAGCCTGACCTATACACCAAGACTCTTGTCTCAAAAAAATTTTAAAATTATTTTTAAAAAGCGCTGGGGTTGTAGCTCAGCAGCACAGCGCCTTCCTGCAATACAAGGCTCTGAGTTCAAGTGATGGGGATGTAGGTCAGTGTGAAAACCTTGGGTTCAATACCCCAATAACCACCTGAAAAAAAAAAAAGACCAGTAGAATGCCTTTTTTCTCTACTAAGAAAAAAACCAATAGAGATATGATCACATCCAAGAAATCCCCACTTCCCTATTGTGGACTCAAAGCTGGGAAATGTCAAACTATTTACTGGGTACAGGCTGGTGGTGGTAGGCAAAGGGCATCAACTCTGCCTGTCTGATAAAGGAGGAGGGGCCCTCAATCCTAACGAAGGCAGACCTTTTCCAACTGCCCTGAGGAGCCTCTCAAGATTCTGGAGCCAAAGTGTGACCTGATAAGAAACTGGTTTGAGAAAGGTCAACAGGGTGTGGCAGAAAAGGCAAGGACAGGCTAAAACTTATCCATTCTTCCTGACCGCCAGAGGCCTTAATCCCTTCAGGCTCAAAATTAGGGATTTCCAGCTTGACTGTTTCCTGAAAAATGCCTGAATTTTATCCATTAAACAAAACCCATTACTCAGGTGGAAGGCAGAGGCTGGGACTTCATCATCTCCCTACTTAAGGGCTCAGTGCTCACTTTCAAAAGATAAGACAGTGGCCAGAGTGCTGGAAACACCTATACATCCCAGCACCAAGGCAGCAGACCCAAGGCCAATTTGAGGCCAGCCTGGACTACACAATGAGTTCAAGGCCAGCCCGAATTACATAGCTAGAGCCTTTCACAAACAAAACAAAAAAGAAACTGATTATCAGTTGAAGAAGGCTCTGGGGTCCGTCCATTCCTAGCACCACAAAAGAAGAAAAAAAAGAGAGAGAGAGAGAAAATGGAGAAACATTCAGCATTTTGTCAAAGCAGTCAAGTGGGGAACCGGCTGAGTTACCTCTGAGGTTAAACGCCAGGGTCCTAGACCTAACCAAACAAGGTGCAGATCTGCACGTGCGCACACACATACACACGTGGTGGTGTCGCCCCGTCTGGATGCAGATTAATGATAGGAAGCCACCAAGAGGAACAAAACCCAAAGCACGGATTCTCTCCCTTCCCCTCCACCCCTGGGCCGGTCAGTTTTCTCTCAGTTCCGCCGGGCCACCCGCCGCTCGCCTTTTCTTACACTAAGCAGGTCCTCCCGGCCCCCAGGCGTCCGCGTCCACCTCCACCCCGCCCTGGGCTGGACGCTCTTCCCACTCCGGGCTCCCTACAGCCCGCGATGGATTCCACCCCGGCAAAGGCGGGGCTGGTGGCTGCTGCCGGTCCTCCACTTATCAGCGTGGTCATTGGTGTTTTGCCCCGGGGACTGCATCCCGCTCGCCCCGTCCCGCCCGCCCCTGGTCCCCTCCCCACTCTCATGATGCATCCCCGCAGCCCGCCTTGCAGGCCCGGTCCTGTCTTCCCACCACGCCGGGCCTTTGGGACCAGGAACTGCTGTTGGCCCGCCACGGGCGCCCAGTACTCACCGAGGTCTGCAGCTGCCGGCGCCCTCACTTCCGCCGGTGCCACCCCCGCAAAGGGCCGGGCGAGCCGCGTGCTCCGGAGCCTGGGTTCCGCCCGCGCAGTTGCTGCCGCTCCACGTGGTCGTCGGCCGGATGGCTGGCTACCGCTGTGGCCGCCTCGCCATCTGCGGCTCAGGCCAGCCGGATTGTTATTTGAGAACGTCTGGGAAACCCGTTTTACAGAGGGTGAAACTGAGGCTGAGCGGGACCAGTGTCTTGGGGCAGCGTTAGGGGCAGAGTTAGATTCTTGCCATCCCACCCCACTGCACGCACTCCTACCCCTCCCTTCTGGTGGGACTTCCACCTCCTCCACGTGGAAGCTTGAGATCCAGCTTCCTTGGCCCCATGCCACGAGAAAGGCTTAAAGCAGTGCTGCTGGGATGGACAGGAGGCTGCCAACTGGTCCTTAGCCCACCCTGCAGTGCCCTTTTACAAAGAGAGAAACTAAGGCTTCTGAGTGGGGAGCAGGAATCTTGCTGCTCTATGACTAGATCACATTTACTTTTTGGAAGTAGAGTCCACTTGAGCAGACACCCCAAAGACCCCTGCTTTCCTCCAAGATCCCAAGACCCAGTCAGTATCTGGCACACAGATACTGCATCCTGCAAATATATCTATGGAAAGAATCTTCCATGCATAGCAAGTCAATAAAGATTTGTTTCAGGACATAGTGGCACACTTCTATAATCTCAGTACTTGGGAGGCTGAGGCGGGAGGATCATGCAAATTCAAAACCAGCCTGGGCTACAAAGTGAGCTCAAAGCCAGCCTGAACTGCATAGGGAGACACTGCCTTGAAAAGACCAAAAAAAATTTTTTCCCTAATTTTCAAAATAAAGTTTTGCTGACTTAATCCAAGGGCTGTATTTATGAATAAAGATAGACTCCAATTTTATCCTCGCAACCTCTGCTCTATTGGGGACAGGAGTTAGCAGAGGGTATAAATGAAAAAGTATATACAAGATTTGCTAATTGATGTAAATTAAGCATGGTGACACACGCCTGTAATCCCAACTCTCTAGAGACTAAGGCATGAGAATCACCACAAATTTGAGGCCAGCCAGGTTTACAGAATGAGTTCAAAGCCAGCTGATAAGTAAGACCCTGTCTCAAAAGCCAAAATTGAACATCTTAGTGTGAATTGATGTAAAAGGAATAAAATAAACCCAGAGTAGTAGTACACACCTATAATCCCAGCTAATGGAGAAGTTAAAAAGGAGGATTGCAAATTTGAGGCTGGCCTGGACAATTTATCAAGACCCTGCCTCAAAATAAAAAATAAAAAGGGCTGACGATATACCTCAGAAGTAGAGAGCTGCTTGCCTAAAGCAAGCAAAGGATTTTGGATTCAATCCTCAAGACTGAGGAGCCACAGGGTTAGATGAGTTTAAAATTGGGTGATTGGAGGAGATAGCATTGAAGAACGAACCACCCTGACCAGGTAACTCTAGTTCCAGTGATCTCCTAGGTCCTTTAGGAAATAGAAAAACTAGCCGAGTGAGGTTGCACATGTCTGTAATCCCAGCACTCCGAAGGCTGAGGCAGGAGGATCATTGCAAATTCAAAACCAGCCTGGGCTTACAAAGTGAGATCAAAGGCAGCCTGAACTGCATAGTGAGACCCCATCTCAAAAAAGAAAATAGAAAAGAAAAGAAACAGGCAAACTAACTGAGGTCCAACAGGGAACTGGTGACAGATGGAGGTCATCTCGAGTAATTTGCAAGGCCTTCAGCAGGGTGTGGCTACTTGAGATAGGCTGGTCAGGGAGGCCTGGGCTCTCAGAGGACAATTGAGCTGGAACCTGAATAACAATATGAGGAACTCCAGGAGATCAACATCTGGAATTCACTTGGGGCACTGGGCTGGGCACACCTGGGGGAGGACAGACACAGAAGCTGGCCCTAACCTCAGGGGACTTGCATTGAGTGGGTGTGGGGAGAACAGTTAACAACACCTCCACACTGCCATGTGGTCAGTGAAGAAGAGAGAACTCTTGTAAAGGTTTAAGGGTGGGGCAGAGTGTCCATGCCACTTCAAACAGAAACAGGATTTTGCCCCGTGAAGGCAGGGAGCAAGGTGGCCTATCACCTTTTAGTGGCCAGTTCAGGCCCACATAGAAAATACCCCACCTCTGCCCCAAACCCTCCCAGGGCTCCCATCTTAGGAAAAGATTTGAAGTGTCCAAAATATTCAAAAGAGCTGGACGTGGGCTGGATTTGTGCATGTGCATGCATGCACGTGCCCTCCCACATGGACACACCTTAATCTCATCACTTGCCTGTAATCCCAGCACCATGGAGGCTGAGGCAGGAAGATTACCACGAGTCTGAGGCCAGCTGGAACTACATAGCAAGACCCTGTCTCCAAACAAACAAAAAAACTAAAATGTTCAAAAGAGCCCTCTGAGTGTGTGCCCATCTTTCTTGTGTGTGTTCTGGTGATGATGGACTTTAGAACCCAGTGCCTTTGCACTGAGCTGACCTTGCAGTGTCCAAGTAACTGGGCCCAATCTTGCTGTCCTACTACCTGAGCCTCCCAGAACCCTGGGGTTACTGGCGCCACCTTGGCCAGTTTTTCCTTTGTTTCCACTGAAATCTCTCAAATCTCTCTCAGATCTCTCTAGTATACAGGGGCCCATCCCAAGCTTTTCTTTTTCTTCTGGAATGCCCAGGGCCTTCATGCAGACTCCATCAGGCTTTAGCTCTGTCCTGTCCTTAGCAGGCATCAAGAAATTGAAGCCCAAAAGTCTGGATGGTGGTGCACACCTATAATCCCAGTCCTTTGGAGGCCAACGTAGATGATCGCTGAGAACTCCAGTCCAGCCTGGGCTACATGGGAAATTGAAACCGGAATAATACTGTCCTCCTTCCTAGATTTATTGTGCTCCACAGCACAAATGATCATGATGCGCACTTCCATCTCAGAGTTAAACTAGGTAGTCTGCCCCCCCATAAGACCCGCGAGCACAATTTTATCACATGAACACGTTTTTCAGCCACAGTGCATAGAACAGAGCATTGTTCAAAGAAGGTCAATAGTTGCTGGATAAATTTTATTTGTAATAATAATAATTATTATTGGGGGGCATTACTAGGTAGGAATTCAACACAGGGCTTTCATACTGAGCTCTATCTGCAGTGCTTTTTACTTTTTATTTTGAGACCAGGTCTCCATAAATCACTAAACTGCCCAGACTGGACTCCAATCCTCCCGCCTCAGCTTCTCATAGTGCAATGTGAGCATGGTCAGCTTGTAATACATTTAATGAAATAGTCCAAGTTATTAAACACCTAATAAGAAAGAGGGCCAATGATTCCTCGGGGATAAGTAGGGTCCACTTTGGGTCCTTCCAGTG